TAACACGGCGACAAAACACGAAAGGCAGAAACTGATAGGACGGCAAGGAGAAAGAGATACAGCCACTGTGATGGTTGGAGACGTCAACACCACCGCTCTTGCAGTGACTGGCAGACCCAGCAGGCAGACGATCAGAAAGGGTGTTCAGAACAGCCCAGCGCCGGTACCACTCCACCTTCCGTCTTGTGGCTCAGTGGTTCTGGAGGTTACACGTACAGGAAGATGGATGGAGGGCGTGTTTCAAATTCAGATTCCTGAATCTCCTCCAGGACACCCCATTCTCTGGGTCCAGCACTGGCGCTCTCCAGCTTTCCTAGAACCGACCCATACACACATCCAGTGCACCCACAAGGCCACACGCAGCCCAGTATCGCCGCCGCCTCCTCTCTCCCCTGACCCCCAGCCCAGGCCACCAGATGTCCCAGGTGCACCCCTGTAGCCGGCTACAAGGCCCCTCCCTCCCTGCTCTCTGTGCACAATTGTATCACATGGGCCCCAGCTTAAAGCCCTCCTGCCTCTTCATGGCAGCTTGGAGGTGAAGTCTGATCTACAGGACCCGGGCCCTGCCTCCCTCTCCTGTGCTCTTCAGGCTGCACCTTTCCCTGCTGCGCCTCCCAGCCACACAGACTTCTTCCCGATCATTCAACACACCATGATTCTTCCCATTGTACAGCCATCTGCCTGGAACACTGTGTCACTCAGGTCCAGAGAGGAACTCAGGAGCTGTGAACTCAGAGACCTCCCCTGACCTCACAGAGACCTCCCCTGAACTCAGAGACCTCCCTCACCTCACAGACACCTCCTTGAACTCAGAGACCTCCCCTCACCTCAGAGAGACCTCCCCTCACCTCACAGACACCTCCCCTCACCTCAGAGACCTCTGCTCACCTCAGTGACCTCCCCTCACCTCAGTGACCTCCCCTCCCCTCACAGGGACCTCCCCTCACCTCACAGACACCTCCCTCACCTCACAGAGACCTCCCCTCACCTCACAGAGACCTCCCCTCACCTCACAGACACCTCCCCTCACCTCACAGA